CGCGGGGCTTGAACTCACGAACCATGAGATCATGACCTGAGCCAGAGTAAGACCAGCTGAGCCACCCAGGCTCAACCAGCTCAACCAGCTGAGCCACCCAGGCGCCCCGGGACACGTGAGATTTTTAATTTCTTCTAAAATCAGAAGGAGGGAAAAAAAGAACTTTTTCAGTTGAAGACAATGGTTTAATATATATTATTTATATATGCATCTTTCTGTCAATACAGATGTGAAATATGATTTTTAGTATTTCGTACGGAAGCAGGGGCCCACGAAGGCCCAAGTTCCCATATATCCCACAAAAATCAGAACATGGTCCTGCCCAAAGCCCCCATCCCAAGTATCACCAGCCACAGAAACTTGAAAATGTAGATTTTTTTTTTTTTTTTTTTTTTGGTCTCTTTCTTGAAGGTTTCAAAGACTGTCAGGACCAGTTTCTTAGGTGGGGTTTGAGGTTTGGAGCAGCTGGGGTCCCTTTGGTGGCCTCCCTAGGACCAATGTTGTCTCTAAGCTCAAGCTGAGTCTGCGGGCCCAGCCCCGGGATGGTATGGGGACTGTGTGTGCCCTCCTCTGGGCCTGACCTCGGGGGCTCGGCTTCCTCCATTACAGAAGGAAAGACTTTGGAACGGCCTGAGCTTGGCAGTAATTCTGGATTGGCCAGTCATCAGAGATGTTGAAGATTTTCTCGTGGGCCAAAGGTTTTCTCTGTGCTCTGGGCGGATGAAGTCCCTCTGAGGATCCTGACGAATGAATTCTGAGACGTTAGGGTTCCCTGAACATGAGACTTTAGTGCTTTGTTTCATTAGAATGTGAAGCCTCATGATACAGGGGAGAAAACCGAAGATGGAAAGAGAAAGTATGCCATCCATTCCAGCCTGACACAGACCCTGTGTTTCCTGCTCGCTGGTGACCCGTCTGCGATGCCGGTGTCCTTTAGGGGTGCAGCTTCGAGAAAGCTCAAACAAACGGCCCCAGCCGCCGCCGCCTTTTCGGACTGCGTTGCTCCGCACTGCCCGGTCTGTAGCAGGATCCTTGGACTCCGGACAGGTTTCTGGACTGTGCCGTACTCTGGTCATGCTTACTCTGCACTCCTTGGCTTTGCCTGTGTGGGATGCCCAGCCCCTAGGACACGTATCTCGAGAGGTAAGCCACTAGCTGTGTGGATCGTGAACACAGAAGGCAAACCAGAAATAATCCGTGCCATCGTCCGGGGAGAGATTCTGTCCGGGATTCTAGGCGGAGCCTCATGGCGAGCCCCTTCTGCAGCCCCTCTTGGGCGGGCAGAGAGGCTTGTTCCCGGACCTCTGGGTGGTGGCAGTGGGGCAGGTGGCCCCTGAGGCCTCCCTCAGAGCGTGCCTGAAGTTTGGTGCTGTGCCCAGCCTCAGGCGAACCAGGGCCTCTATCTGGGGGAGTACCCCTCACCTTGGCCTGCCCGCCTGACTGCATCACATCCCGCTGACTCAGTTGGCCTGGCCCTTGGATAAACAGCTTTGTTGAAAGGACGGTCCATTTGTTTACGCTGGAGAGTTTTTTTCTGATGAAACACAGCAGGCTGGTGGGCGATGTGCCCCATAATAGAGTCAAGTTGCACCGCGTGACTTAAAAACTCACATTAACAAAACCCACCAAAATGGTAACAGTGGCTGCCTTTGGGTGATGGACGATTTCTGCGTTGTTCTCTCTTTTATATTTCTGGGTGTTCTATTTTTTTCCCCCCACCGTAAACATTTATTACTATTTTGTAATGGGGAAGAAATCACTGAAATAAAGGGGGTGGAACGTTTCACATACCATGGCATTTTAATTAAAAAAAAATTTTTTTTTATATTTATTTTTGAGAAAGAGAGAGACAGAGTGTGAGCAGGGAAGGGGCAGAGAGAGGGAGAAACAGCCTCAGGCTGTGAGCTGTCAGCACAGAGCGCCTTGAGGGGCTTGAACCTATAAACCGTGAGATCATGACCCGAACCGAAGTCGGACCGTCAACCGACTGAGCCACCTAAGCGCCCCTTAATTTTTTTTTAATGTTTAGTTATTTTTGAGAGAGAGAGAGAGACAGAACGTGAGCATAGGAGGGGCAGAGAGAGCGGGAGACACAGAATCCGACGCAGGCTCTAGGCTCTGAGCTGTCAGCACAGAACCCGACACGGGGCTTGAACCCACAAACCATGAGATCATGAGCTGAGCCAGAGTCAGATGCTCAACTGACTGAGCCACCCAGGTCCCCCTTATTTATTTATTTTTTTTAATGTTTAGTTACTTTTGAGAGAGAGAGACAGACAGAGACAGAGTACAAGCAGGGTAGGGGCAGAGAGAGAGAGAGAGACGCACAGAATCCAAAGCAGGCTCCAGGCTCTGAGCTGTCAGCACAGAGCCCAACATGGGGCTCGAACCCACGAACCACGAGATCATGACATGAGCCAGAGTCGGATGCTCAACTGACTGAGCCACCCAGGTGCCCCACCATGGCATTTTAAACAAAGACTGAATGTTTGTGACACAGAGACCCAGAGCAGGAATAATGACGTGAACATTCTCTAGCAGATGCCTGTTACACGTGGTTCCCTCTCAGCCAGTGGCTGTGGCCTCGCTGGTGACAGGTAGAGCCTCTTGGTTCTTAGATCCATAGGGTAGCCCTTGTGAATAACGATGACACAAATACCATCATCTTCTACATGTCTCATCTATGTGTTTCATCCACGTGATACCCTGTGAGGTGGGCACTATTAGGATCATGCCCATTTTAGAGAATGGAAAATGGAGGCATTGAGAAGACAGGTAGGTATAACTCTGGGATTTGAGACCTGGTAACACTTGGCCACAGAGCCTGGGTGCTAAACCACAGTGCCATTCTGCCTTTTGTAGGAGCAGAAATCCAGGTGGGACCCGAAGGAAGGACCAGCAGGCAGAGGAGGCGGACCATATGGGAGGATGTTGGTGCTCAGTCTGGGCTGGTTTGGGTGGGCCTTGACCACAGCATGGGCCAGGGAGAGAGTCTGGGAGTAGCTGGGGCCAACGCCGTCTTGTTCTTCCTGCAGTGTGCTGGACATCTTCCCCACTGTGGTGGCCCTGGCGGGGGCCAGCCTGCCCCAAGACCGGCACTTTGACGGCTTGGATGCCTCTTCCGTGCTTTTTGGCTGGTCGCAGACTGGGCACCGGGTAAGTGGAGGAGGTGTGCGCCCCTCACTGGCTCTACAGGGGCTTGGGCTGCTGCTTCTCATCCGGGGCCACCTTTGTGCGAAGAGAACCCTCCTGGGAACATGCATGCCAGCGGCCCCTCCCGATCTAGTTTAAGAACCCTGACGGATTAATCCTTTGAGACAAAGCTCTCTTTCCACCCCTCTCCCCCTCTTCCCCTGTGATCAATCCAGCTTGTCAATCCAGACTTACATTGGACAGTCTGGCTTAGAGTGGGTGTGTATAGAGGTGCTTCTTGCCCGTAACATACGATTTTTTTCCGCAATGATGTGTCTGACACATCGTAGGCCCCTGGCACATTTTTGTTGGACGGGGTGGCTGACTAGCCAGAGTGACTTGGGTATTGTGGGACTCCCCGACTAGAATGGAACTTCCCGAAGGCAGGGATCTCCCCCAGAATTCTCAGTGCACCTAACTGGGCCAGCACCCAGCCGGCAGTAAATGTGCATTTGACGAAGAAATGAATGAACATTCCCCCTGGCTCCTGGAAGGCCCGGCCTGTGGCCCTACAGCCCCTGCTCCAGCTTTGGAGTTCTGCTCCCCAGCACCCCAGGGTCCCCTCTCCATGTGCACTGAGGCATTCGTCGGCAGTGACAGCCAGGAAGTGCCGGCCCCGACGGCCTTTCCATGTCATTTCCGTGTGTTTTCCTTTCACCAAAAGGAAGAGGAAGTGGGAGGAGGGAACCCCAAGCACCTCTGTGAGGCCCGGTGAGCACATGGCTTCTGAGTTAGGGACCCACACATCAAAGGGTCTATTTGTGTCTTCACCCGAGGTTCACATGGAAGTGACTCAAATGCGCTGCTCGGATGTGGCCGGTGGTTTGTGACGCGGCCCTCGCCACGGAGCCCCGAGGGGGCCATCCGTGCTTCCGAGAGCGTTCCTGCAGTTTCTAGGGGTTGTCTGACGCTGCCTGAAATGCCCTCTGAGCAAGTACTGCTTCTCCCGGGACACCCAACCTTCTAGAGCTGCCCAGGCTTCCAGGCTGAGCCCCACCGCTGGGGGAGCTGCAAAGAGCAGGAAGATGGTTTCCGCCTCCGGACTGGACGTTCGCAGTGTGTGACCCCGGGGGGTTATCGAAGACGTCAGTGGAGAGGTGCTCCTGAGTGTTTATCACCACGGCTACTAATAGAATCATTGGGGTCACCAGGAAGTGCTTCAAGGACTCCGGGCTCCTTGACGCGGCCGCTCCTGCCTGTGGAAGCCAGAACCTTCGCGCTCACTTCCGCTCTCAGAGGGGAGAGCGGTCCCTCTCTCTAGTTGCAGCTCTTTCTTCTGCAGAGTCATGCTCAGGGCCTAACAGTTACTGGCCTCGTGTCCGACAGGGTTGGGCCCGGCAAGGGGAGTAGAGGCGGCCCCAACACTGGTTGGGGTTTTCGTGGGGACAGATGATGTGTGGTAAGGCGGCTGCAGTGGGGGCTGGCTTGCTCCCTGACCACACCGCAGGGCCCAGAAGGAAACAGCCACCACTTACTGCTTGCAGGAAGCTGCTGATAGCATCTTCAAGAGCAAAGGCCCTGGGATGCTGGCACCTGCAGGCTATACCCAGCCTCCCAGAGCTCTGGATTCCCTGCAGAGCCGTGCAGATGCTGCAGATAAGATTGTTTGGAGTTTGAGGGCAACCCAGATAATTGTTGGCCCTGAATTGGTCTTTTCTGCTCACCTGCTGAAAAGACTAGAGTAAAGCGTCCAGAATTTGCTGAACAGAGGGGAGGTCGGAGGCCGGGAGGTAGAGTGAGTGATGATAGAGACATACACGCACATACATATGTGTATACGCTCACATACAGGTCCCCGCGTGCGATTTTTTTTTTTAAACTTTTATTATTTTCTATTAAAACAATGTTTTCTTAACGTTTATTTATCATTGAGAGAGAGAGAAAGAGAGAGATAGCACAAGTCAGGGAGGGGCAGAGAGAGAGGGAGTCACAGAATCCGAAGCAGGCTCCAGGCTCCGAGCTGTCAGCACAGAGCCCGACGCGGGGCTCGGACCCAGGACCCGTGAGATCATGACCTGAGCCGGAGTCAGAGGCTTAACTGACGGAGCCACCCAGGCGCCACCGCGTGTAATTTTTACTAAACACAATTTGGTTGTGTTCACACTCAGGTGTGTTCTGGGCGTGCAAGGATTCTAACATGGCTTAGTTTAGAAAACCATTCCAGTTTCAAGAAGCTCAGAGTAACTCCTCAGATGCTCATCTCAAAACAATATGCAAATACAGCTCAGCCATTCGGTCCTTCCCTATTTTGCAAATGAAGTAACCGCCCGGGTAAAGAGCTGAAGCCACCTAAGGCTAAGGCGTAGCTCCTTGGCACCCCCCCTCCCCGCACCCCCCCCAGGCCCCGTGCGGACAGGTTTAAGGGCAAGTAATGGGTCTGCAGTTTTCCTACTGTGCAGTCTTTTCACTACCCGCTTCGAGGACGGGCGGGACGTGGGGTGGTGTTGAAAATGAGCAACGGAGGTGGCCAGGCTGCCCGCTCTTGCATTCTGCTGAGCCTTCTGCTTCTCATCTTGATGGGCCCGGGTCTGGGCACGGAGGGCAACCGCAGGGCGGGGGAGGGCGCCTCAGAGATCCTGCTTCGTGCTTGCCTGACTCCCTGGTGGAAGCTGGAGTTCGTCACGTTACCACCGGTCAAGTCGTACCTCCGCCCCGGGTTGCCAACCGCCGAGGCCAAAAATTGCCCACAAAGAGGAAGGCGTCTTTAATGGCTCTTCACCTGCCAGTGCAGACTGGTCTGGGGCTGCTGTGGGTCAGAAAATGCATGGCACCTCCCTGGAGGCCATACACCGGGGAGACCTGAGCAGGGGCTTGTCTCTGGAGCTCCGTCTGTCTGATCACTTCTCTTAGGGAGGCCCCTAGTGGTGAAAGACGCCATCCCCATCCGGAGTGGCTGCCCCCTTTTGGAGCAGGCTTTGCAGCCCCACCTGATGGGATTGGGGAGCCTTCCTTTTGTGTGTGTGTGGGGGGGGGGGCGTTACCACATAAGCACCAGCCTCTGGGGCCTAAGGGAGCCGCTCACCTGCTTCAAACAACAAAACAGAATGAAACAAAGCAAACAGGTAAGAAAGGCAACCAAGAGGGTGCAACATGTCTGCAGAAGATAAAAGTTATCTTTGAAGTGGGGACCCACCCTGGAGAGGACCTGTCTTAGGCTGTGATTCATGTATCAGTTTGCCAACCCTCTTCCTATGTGGGTGTAAACAACGCCGTGGCCAGTCTGCACAACAAAACCCACGCCCTCCTGTTTCTGAGAGGGAGCCATCCGGAAGTTTTGCTTCCTCTTCCTCTTGGATTTTGGAAGTTGCCTCTGGTAACGCTGCACAAATATCCTGGATGTAGCAGCCCACCCTTCTGGAGTGTCTGTCACCGAGACCCAAATACTGTCAACGATTTGAACCAGCGGACCGCGACTCCCATCTTCTGGAGGTCTGAGGACCTCCTTGATGGGCGGACGGTAGGTTTTCCAAGTCCCCCCACTTTCCGCCTCCGCCAGAAGGAAACCCAGTGGCCTCCCGCAGTGAGAGGCTTGGCTTCCTGCTGGGCGGGCAGAGGAGTGAGTTTTGAGTTACGACTTCTTTTCCTGTTTGGAAGGAGCCTGCTGTCATCATGCTGGCTGGAGACCTTGCAGGGACTGTCACGAGAGCCCAGCACGGAAGCTGCAGGTGCGGGAGGGACCCCGCCCTCGGTGGCATCCTCTGAGAGCCCGGAAAAACTTGGGGGGACAGCTGTTTACTGCTCCAACAGATGTTTCTCGCTCTTTTTTTTTTAATAGCCCCATGGAAACTTTGAATCACATAAGCGTCTTTGCAGTGATATATATTGGTCATGATTCATACCAGGGCGGTCTCACGCATCCAGCACCAACCCACCAACCCACCAAGGACACTGGTTGTTTATTTTCTACCGAATCCTGCCCTTGGCACGCCTGAATTCGGTGTTTCCATTCTGTAGGGCGATTCTTTCATCGATGGCCGGATGACGGGGAATTTCCTCAGTCTGAGGAGGGCAGGATTGAGTCAGGGAGTGAGGACATCTGTGTTCGGAGGTTAGGCTGTGCCCAGTTCTGCAGAAATCACGCCTAGCTGTCCTCTCAAGGACATGCCATCCTTGCTTGAGGGAGAGTTAGAACATTAACTGGATGCCAAGAAGCCGTGTTTCCAAGGAGCACCCGCGTCAGAATCCCTGGGACTGTCTGTAAGCCGTGCAGATTCCCAGGCCCCGTCTTGAACCTGAAGGGTGGGACACAGCCACCTGCGGCCCCGCCCTAGGATGGTCCTGCGCCTGGTTTAGAGAACACGTACTGTGCTGCCTTGAAATTGTTCGATTTCGAACGAGGTTTCTCTCTTTCATTTTGCACCGGACCCTGCGAATTCTGCAGCTGGTACCGGGGGCCTAGGAGTCTGACCAGAGTTGCAGCCCATTCTGATTAATTAACTTGCCAAGGAGCTATTTCCTGCCCTTCTCCCCCTGCCCCCCCCCCCCCCCAAGCATTGGCCGGCGTGGACTACAGGCCTGTGTCTGTCAGTGTTTGGGGCCGTGGTGGGTGGGATGGACCGGCCACCGTGACAGAGAAAGGAATGCCTTCCAGGAAGCATGGGGGGCATGGTTGACGGGTTAGGAAGCTCTCTCTGCTGCTCTCTCTCAGGTGCTGTTTCACCCCAACAGTGGGGCGGCTGGAGAGTATGGAGCCCTTCAGACCGTCCGCCTGGAACAACACAAGGCCTTCTACGTCACCGGTGAGTCAGGGGCACCCACCTGGATCCACCCTCAGGCCTCCAGGAATGAGTGTGGGCTGCCCTCCCTCAGGGAGCCCTCAGCTCCCCCCTCCCCCCCTCCCCCCACCACCCCAGGACAGGCCCTCTGCACCCACAAATACGAAAACAAGGTCTTTGTACTCTGTGCCTGAATTTCTAGCAAGCTCAGAGCTAGTCCGCACACTCACAAGAAGGACTCTCACTCCACTGTTAGGCTTTAAATGCCAGTTTGGCGGAATGTTAAATGGAAGCTTGGAGATATTTTAAGGTGTAATTTACTAGACAATAGACTGTTTCAGAGAATAGACTCTAGAGGTCTAGTTAGCAAACCGACAGAAGTCTCTCTGCTTCTTGATTCGCTCGGTGACGGTCTTAAATGTATATTTTAGAAATGTGATGCTGGGTCAGGATGGTTCTCAAAATCTTCCCAGGGGCTTCTGGCTGCGAACAGAATTCAGGCTCCTTCCATACCGGGTCGCTCGACTTTTCTGGTGTTGGTTCTCCAAGAGCAACCACCTTCTTCCTTGGCCTTCTATCAAGATCTCTTTCAGCGTTTAGGGCCTCACATCAAATCCTAGTACCTCGGTCATAAAACTCCCTCTCATCTTCTCAGCTGGGTATGATCTGGAGAAACTCTGGTGATGATCACGTTCTGCCCTATATGCCATCCATTGGGGTACATGTTTTATTTTCCCTACTAGTTTTTTTTTTTTAATTTTTTTTTTAACGTTTATTCAGTTTTGAGAGACAGAGACAGAGCACGAGTGGGGCAGGGGCAGAGAGAGAGGGAGACACAGAATCCGAAGCAGGCTCCGGGCTCCGAGCTGTCAGCGCAGAGCCCGACTCGGGGCTCGAACTCAAGAACCGTGAGATCATAACCTGAGCCGAAGTCGGCCACTTAACTGACTGAGCCACCCAGGCGCCCCTCCCTTACTAGTTTTGAGCTCTCTGAACCCAGAGCTTTGTAAGATCTTTTATTTTTGTTGTCTTTAAGTGCTGAGCACAGTGTCTCGTGTCCCGCAGGAACCCTAAAATTTTTCTCCGAGTGAATGAAAAACGAACAAACAAAAACATAAACAAAACAAAACCAGACCCGGGACCTGGTGTGGATTTCAATTTGATTCAGTTATTTAATGTGAGAGTGTTCCAAAGCATTATATAATAAAGAACAGAAATTATTTTCCCCGAGTATAAATACGTGATCCTGGAGAAAATGTGCCATAAAAACACAGGTTCTTTGAGTTCAGAACTTGAGGGATATTAAAAATGCCACAAAGACTCTTTTGATTCTCCAAAACCTAAAATGCAAACCAGTCAGATATTTGTTATGCTTTCGGGTGGAAAATTTCTAGATTACAGTCCTTACATTACATTATCTCAGAGGTATGGCTTCTCCAGGCTGAGTTAATTTCAGAAGTCAAGACCTTGCCAAAAAAGCCCTTGGGACCACAGTGCTGGCATCCTAAATGTTACTATGAAGTAATCGGACCGTTTAAAACCATCACAATCAGACAAGAATTAGGATGCCCAGGGGAGGCCTCTTCTGAGGAGTCACCAAAGTCCCGGCAGAGTTAGCACGAGGATGAGGACGACAGACATCTCAACAGCTGGGGGCCGGGGGTGGAGAGTGTGACATGTTCTGATCCCTCCCTTCCCTTCCTCTTTGGAAAGTCTGCATCCTGGTTACTTAAAGCTGCTTTTGGATAAACGAGCTATATTGACCTCTATCTACTACATTAGATTAGAGAAAGATTTGGAGGAGGTTTCTTCACAGATTTTGAGGCGTCCCCCCCCCTTCTGGCTCCCTCCTTCCCGGATTTCACCCATCGATTTTCTTCCGTTGTGAGAGTCCTGAGCTCTGATACCTTGATATTCCCCCGATGCCCCAAGCCAAAGAGAGGATAGTCTTCTTGGGCCCGGACTGCACAGACTGGGCAGTGTCCCCAGGGGAATGAAACTCTTGAACACAGACCCAACCCATGGTGACCTCTGCCTTTCAATGATCAAATTATTTTGTTTCTGCCTGCCTCCGTGATTTTCTGGTGCCTTCAATTGTTGGGGTTTTTTCCCCTGAATTTGTTGCCTAGAATTTGTAATTGTTACCCACGTGGGGTCCTATGCAAGCTATTTCATTATTCTGTGAAGTGGAAATCTTTAATTTTTATAAGGAGTCCATCCAAACCCTTGCTTGACTGACTGCAAACCTCATGTCCCGTGCCCTTGACTGGCAATGAAGAAGAGCCAAATTCTAGGCAAAGACAGTGATTCTCAGCTTTCCACTGACCGACCCAAATGTCAACCACGAGAGGAAAACCATTAATGAAGGGCTGTGCGACTTGCCCATTCTTCTCTCCCCGTAAGAGGAGCCACTGGAGAAATTTCTCTCACACCTCAGTGAGAAGGAGCAATTGATAAGTTTCCACCTTCTGGTTTGGCTGCTAAGAAGCTCGGGGGCAAAGTAGGTGTTCAGGAATTCCTATATTTCTTAAAAAAGATATTTTTTAACTATTTTTGTGTATGAGAGAGAGAGAGAGTATGAGCAGGGGAGGGGCCAAGAGACGGGGTGACACAGAATGTGAAGCCGGTTCCAGGCTCTGAGCTGTCAGCACAGAGCCCGACGCCAGGCTCGAACTCACGAACTGTGAGATCATGACCTGAGCGAAGTCAGACGCTTAACCGACTGACTGACCAACCCCGGCACCCCGGGAGTTCCTGTATTTCTGATGGCCGTCCTTTGCCTTGACTCCTTCTGGTGACTCAGTTGCATTACATTGATTTCTATCAGATGCCTGAACTACTTTTTGTATGGAAAAGGAAAAGAACCTGAGTCGTGACAGCTAAGGATGCGGCTCTCCATTTTTGTTCCTGCTCCCCTGAGGCTGCTTCAACAGCCAGATTCTGGTTTCAACAAGAGTCTCAACTACAACCCAAAGTGAAATTACTCACCTTGCCTTCCCGCCCAGTCCACAAACTGAGTATCTCTGGTATTCCAGAAATGAATTTTTGAGGAAAAAAAAAAAGAAAAAAAGAAAAAACCGAATTTACTCGCCAAGGGTGGAGACGGGAGATACTCGATTGGCTGCTGTGCGGGCCCTGAAGGCAAGTCCGGGAGAAGTTCCAGATCATTCTGGAAGGCAGGAGCATCCCTGGGATGAGCAGCCGGAACCCCAAGGCGCTTTCTTTGACGGGGAGAACAGTCATTCGAACATACGAGTCCTGCTCTGTTTGCCTCGATTTATAATCCATCACCTTCTCCTCTTTCCAGCACGGGGCCAAAGCTGGGTTTGATGGGGTGTTTGCTGTCACCCTCTCTCTAGGCGGAGCCAAAGCCTGTGACGGGAAGGTCGGGCCCCCGCGGCTTCATGAGCCTCCCCTCATTTTTAACCTGGAAGAGGATGTTGCGGAAGCCCAGCCTCTAGAAGAAGGTAGTGCTGAGTACGGGCGCGTCTTGCCCGAGGTCAGACAGGTCCTGGCGGAGGTGCTGGTGGACATTGCTGGTGACAAGACGTCCAGGGCGGATTACACTCGGGATCCTTCGGTGACCCCCTGCTGTGATCCCCACCGAAAGGCCTGCCGCTGTCACACCACCTGACCCATTTCCCCCCCACTGTCCTCCCTGCATGCCGCCTTGGGAGGGGGGTGGGGACGGCTGTGCCGAGCCGAGCGAGCGCTAGGGAAAGGCACACAGGCTTTGGAGTCAGGCCGGGTTCAGGCCCCAGCTTCGGAACGTGGGCCGTGGGCCGTCACTGAACCCACAGCTTTCGAGCTCATTCTGAGGACCAAGGAGGCACTGTATGCAAATGACTGCCACATCACGTGACGCGGAACAGGCACTGGATGCATTTTAGTTTCCTTTCCTTTCTATGCACCCAGTTTTGCTGGTCGTTTTAGCATAGATTCATGCCAGCTGGGATCTAGGGCAGCACTTTTCCATCTTTAATACGCATACGTGTCACCTGGGATCCCTCGAGAGTGCAGATTCTGACTCAGTAGTTGCCCGAGACGCTCCATTTCCGGGCAGCTCCTGGGGGAAATGCCCAGAGTAGCACAGGTGCAGACTAGACAAAGCTAGACGTTTCCGGGTCTCAGAGCAGGCGAGCCCACGGATACAGCCGTGGCACTCCCTGTCTCCTCTCGCTCCCCCTTAAAGATCAAATGATGGTATTTTAAAGATTGTAAGCATTCCTTCTGCCTCCTAAAACCAGGAAGAAATGAACGTCTAAAACCTCAAAAACACATTGCCATGATTTTATTATAAGTGTCCTAAATGGGACTCCAAGGTAATAAATGATTCATTCCAATCACTGCAAAAATACTTTGCCTGGCTAAAAGCAGTCTCTCTCTATGTCATATACAAGAAATACAATTCAAAGAGGTTTTCCTATACGTACATTTTTACATGGCATACATTTAAAAAGGATGCCCTTGTTCATATAAAGTTCCGGCTATAGACCAACGTGGTTAGTGAGCATCGACGCGATGGCTGTAACATATTTCATATAGTCTCTCCCACGCCTGCTGGCAACCAGGGCGGAGGAGAGTTTGGTGAGCAGTGGACCGCGTCCCGTGGCTTAAGCAGGCGGCACCTGGGATTCCTGCCCCCCTTTCTGCGCACACAATTGTACTCCATTCTTCCACCTTCCTTGTTTTCTCCACAACCACCTGACAGGGGGTGTCCTGCTTTCTGAGGTGCGCTTCTCATCATGACTGCTTCGTTTTGCCCTTCTGACTTCCACGGCACAAGATAATCTACCAAAATCAAAACAGAACGGCCTTAACTCTTTCCGGGAAGAGACTGGTAGGCAGGCTGGGTTATCAACAGATCTGTGCCCACGAGGGGTCAGCAGGGGGAGGCTGGGCGCTGCAGATCCACAGACTGACCCTCACTCACGGCCACAGAAAATCCACCCATCTTACTTCGGTATAGACGAGTATGGCACGGTTTCAAAAAAAAACTGACTACGTCTAAAATACGTGTGTGTGTGTTTATATGGGTATTGCATGTTTTTTTAAAAGGCTCATCTTACTTGTAAACACAGACTGTTAAGTCACTACTAAAGTCAGTAAATACCCTTGGTCCCAATTTGCTTACTCTTGCTCACAAGAGCAGACTAGTGTCGGAAAATATGCAGACTTGTAAAGGTTGGTGTATTGCTGGGACAAAAGCTGCTTATCTTCCTGAACACAGCGTCTTTCTAAGGGACCAGAAACGATCAATTCTCTTTCCTTTCATTGTTTATGGAGCAAAGTAAGTCCCAAGGAGATAAGAGCGATCATATCCAGGGAAGTGCGAGTATACTTAGAAAACAAAAAAGACCCACTCGAGATGACCTGTGTTCCGAAGGCAAAGGCCCAGGGAGGGCCGCACGAGATTATCTGGGCAAGCCCATGTTCTTAGTTAACTGAAAGAGAAGTGATTTTAACCAAACGGAGACTCCAAGATCCTTTCTCAATCCTGGAAGTTTTTAAGGGACGTGGGTAGAGATGTGAATTCTGGACAAGATACAGAATAAAGGCAGAGAGGGGAGTCGCCCAGGATCTCCTCTCCAGTTGGACATCGTTGCCAATGAGGGCGTGAGGTGGTCCGTGTCAAGAGGACATCCCAGTGGCACTCACGCCCCTGGTCCCCGTGCGGTGCGGTGAGGTGGAGAAGGCCGTCTGCTACGATGTCAGGAGCTCGCGGAAGCATGGCCCTCTCCTCCCCGTCTGCCTCTAGGCTGGAGGGCAGGCCTGGGGTCTGATGGGCTTCTTGACCCCTACCACCAGCTCTAGGGTCTAACAGGGGCCTCATTCAGTGATCAGTGGTCTCGCTGGCAGGAAGCCTTCCTCGAGTATAAATAAAAATCCCGGATGCAATTTAAACCAGGTTTCACTCATCTGATCCTTAAGAGGGAGACGGGACAGCCGGCTCATAGCCAGCTTCCTGGCAGTGTTTAGGTGAACAGGCCTCTTGATAGGTTCTAGCACTCGTTTTTAAGCATCTCTATTTTTTTTTTTTTTTAAAGCTCGAGGCAAATGATCTGCACAGTGTACCTATTATCTTATGCAGGCTTTCTTTGGCAGGGGCCCATCTCCTTCATGCCAAGATCTGCAGTACCCCAATTCTGTAAAGTACAAGAGCTTGTAGGGTTCACTTTGATTACTAATTAATAATCTAATAATCTTTTCTAGCAGTCACAGACTTTCACCAAAACCACTGAAATGGAACCTAATGAGGGAATGCTCCAAACCTGGACACGTGGGACACATCTATCCCTAGGGCATCTGATCTATTCTGGTTCCTAGAAGATACAGCTGCAGGGAAATGACCACCAGCTTTGGGGGGGGGGGGGCGGCAGAAGAACTCCCTTTATGGCTAGTTCGGGCATGAGAACCCAAAGGCAAACCACTGGCTTATCAGGAGGCAGCAAGCCAACAGTTGTTTCTATCCTTAGAATTGGTATTTTTAAGAACCACCGCTCTCCACGCTTAACATCTAAACTACTTGTTGGCATTGTGTTTGGCAATCTGCCGATTCAAAGCCCGGAACGTAGACTTCAAGCTACAATCTGTAAAGCCTTTATGGGAAAGCACAAAGCCAGCCCTCTAATGATGCAAAGAGGGACCCAAAACAGTCTTTTTTTTTTTAAGCTGACTGGGCTCATCAGATTGTCCCAAGGTTTATATAAGAAAGAAGCTAGACTTGCACCCCATCCTTTTGCAGATGGAACTTCCACGGACACGAAAGGATCAGGAGCAAACATTCTATACTAAGACCTAACGGGCTCTGAGGCAAAGCCCAAGTGGCTGCTGCTCTCTGGCCCCAGCGGGGGTCACAGAGTTGACTCTCTTAAGTCCTGGCCCGCGCACCGCTCCCATCTCTAAAGGAGTTCAGGTTCGCCCTCTGTGCCATTCGCTAACCGCAGCTCACAAGCCCGCTCCGTGCGTTGCTCTCAACGGAAGCTTGAGGCCTCAGAAGCTAAGACCCTGGCGGCCACCCAGGGAGAGAATCCTCTCGCTCCGGACAGGGACGCTAGAAAAAGCCAAGCTCTGCACCCAGCCAGCCCTGAGGGCTCTCGCTACCGGAACAGCTGAAGCAGGGTGCAGGGAAACGCAGGGGAGCTCTCCCCCGGGGGCTCCCACCCTCCGCACGGCTGCTGGCAGCCTGGGGTCCGCCTCACCAGAGCCGGAGGAGGGTGAGGGTCCGGCTGGCTTGCAGAGAGCGGCAGCCCAGCCCCGCTAGAGCATCGTCGTTAGCAAAAAGGTGGCAGGATTCCACAAGAACATCCTTAGGAGCCTCAGGAAAACAGGAGTTGATGCAGGCGTGAATTCCTGCCTTGCGAGCAGCAGAGATAGTGCTAACGAAGCCAAGTTAAGGGTTCCAGGCCTCCGGACGTAGTGAGGCCGCCGAGACCCCCTCCCCCCCCCATTAGTATCCGGTGTTATTCTAATGCTGCTGTGTTCAGCTCGACACCTGGTGGCCAGTCTACAGGGTCTGAAGCACACGGCACGGCACGCCGTCTGTGGCTTTCTCAACGGGAGGGAGGAGGTTAGCTGTTACAGGACTAGACCACCGGGAAAGTGACCTCGCCTCGTGCGCGAGGGGAAGGTTTCCCTCCCAGCACACAGACTGGGCCGCTCTTTTAGGGATTCCTACTGCTCACAGGGGGAAATTCATTCTCGTCGTCAAGGCATACTGGTCCCGTCGCAAACTCATGTTCAGGAATAACCTCTCCTCGGAGGGCCCCGCCGTCCTCAGAATAACCTGGAAAGCAAGAGTGAGACATGAGGGAAGCCCCCTGGCCTGTTGTGACGCTCTGACCCCGGGACAGGACCTCCAGGGAAACCATGGAGGCCACCTTTGCCTTTCGAATGGAGAGACTGCTTCCGGTGAGTCAGAATCCCCACCGCTTAGGGTCTCGAAGCCCCCGGATGGGCTGACCTCGCCCACCCTTCCACCCCGGGCCCCTCCAACTTTCCACCTGTTTGCAATTCTCAAAGAGGCAAAGCCTCGACTCTACGTGTGAGGGAGACAGCCATTTTGGGCCGTGCCTGCCAGGTTTAGGGACCTGGGTTTAAAGGCTATTCTCAGGGCCGCACCTGGGGGGAAAGAAGTGGTTTGGGAAGAGTGCTCTGTTCACAGGTGACCATGAAGACAGAAGAGCTGCCGTCAGAAACAGGCCCCCACGACGCCCCCAGCCAGGCCCCCACGGCCACTCACCTGGCACGGTAGAGGCAGAAGACGTGCTTGGTCTGGCCACGGTCGCTGCATAAGACTGAGGTAATGGAGGTCTGAGGTCATTTTCTTTGTTTTCTTCTGTTGTTCCTGAGCTAAGCAAGCTAATGGCAGCAATTAAGGGGAGGGGGAGAAAAGAAAAAAGGGCTCATCACATGTGCAGGAAACTTCCAGAAGGAAAAGTACTAGGAAGCTCAGGCTTGCCCCCTTGAGTTTAAAGTATGGACCTATTGGGGGAGCCTGGGGGGCTCAGTCGGGTAGGCGTCTGACTCTTGGTTTCGCATGATCTCACGGCTCATGGGTCTGAGCCCCACATCGGGCTCTGTGCTGACAGCGTGGAGCCTGCTTGGGCTTCTCTGTCCCTTTCTCTCTGCTCCTCCCCGGCTCATGTACTCGCCCTCTCTCTCTCAAAATAAATAAACTTAAAAAAGAGGGGCGCCTGGGTGGCGCAGTCGGTTAAGCGTCCGACTTCAGCCAGGTCACGATCTCGCGGTCTGTGAGTTCGAGCCCCGCGTCGGGCTCTGGGCTGATGGCTCAGAGCCTGGAGTCTGTTTCCGATTCTGTGTCTCCCTCTCTCTCTGCCCCTCCCCCGTTCATGCTCTGTCTCTCTCTGTCCCAAAAATAAATAAAAAACGTTGAAAAAAAAATTAAAAAAAAAAAAAAGAAAAAGGACTGATGAGTACACTACTAGGTCACATGACCTAAACAGCAACCTCGAACTGCTGGGGTCAATCATGCAACTTCACAACGACCCCTTTCTCTTGTACTGACTGAATGAAGATTGGCCCTTTGCTCTTTCTGGTACACTCTGGCCAGGACGCTAAGACTCGCTCACAAAGGGGGGCTCCGCGGGCCAAGGGGAGGGGGCGGTGGCAGCTCGTGGGGTCCTGTCACAGCAGGAAGAGGTCACCTTGTCAAGAGGTCACAGATGTCAGGAGAACTTTTCAATTCCCTTTGGCCCACATTTTGGAGCTCCCAGTATGTACGAGGGAACGTATGAGGAGGAAAGGGCCGTATGAAGTCATTCTGCTTCTTCAAGTGCACATTACGCATCTCAGCAACTCTTCCAGAAGCCTACAGCGTGGCGGGGGTGCCTGACGTGGAGCCCAGCGAGGAGTGGGTGCCCACTAGAAGTGGGCCACCGAGAACACCAGCCAGGACGACAGACAAGCAGGGCACCGAAGCTTGTCGTTCTTGGCCACGTGACGGCTTTACACAACCAGCTCTTAAAGAGGCTTTCTGAAAACTAGCCTCTTCACCTGTGGGTCTTGATTAAGACACATTCTCCTCCGTCCTGAGGGTCCAAATTGTAGATGTAAAGGTGTCCATCGGAAGACGCGACCAGGAGTCTTGGCAGTTTCTGGATCCTAAGAGCCAAGTAAAATACGTGTTGTGACCTCAACAGAGGCAGGTAACCGGGTTGGCTTCAAATGACACAGCCTCCCCCACCCCGTGGCCCCAGGGTCCTTCTCCTGCCTTCAGGAACCCTTTACCCGGCCCACTGGCCCCAGATCCTGGGTTTCTGGCTATTTCTTGGCATTATGACCTAGTGATCCACCTCGAGGATTATTTCTCATCTCGGAAGACAACTGTGTGGACGAGACAAACGACGTGTGCGTCTGCTATTACTCTGAAAAGGTGCCACCGAGGAAATCAGCGGACCCGAGTGGGACATGGCCTCTGGCTTATGCGTGTTTCTGCCTTTAACCGTGACGGAAAGGACAAAGGACAAAATCGGCTGGCTCGTTTTATGAACTTTTAAAAAATGTTCGCCTTCCTTAAACTCCTTCAAACCCCTTGGACAAAACATCTGTCGACCCCACAGGCGTCGGAACCTACGGAGCCGGAGTCTTTTTACAGAGTTACTTAGACGAGCGGGACCCGTTTTCGAGACAGCGTCGGCAGAACCACAAGGTTCCATTTCCCACGCCGGCTCGCGGCCGCCCCCCCCAGAACACGCGTGACGACCAGAGAGGGCGGCGGCTGACGGCCACGGCCCTTCTTCGGGGCCTCCTTCCTTCTTTTTCTCCTGGCGCGTGTTCGGGGATCTGTGCGCTTTGGGCAAACCGAGCCGTAGAAGGTGGTGCCTGTGACAGCGGGTGGCGCCATACGTACGTGGAGAGGGTGCAGATGTTCCTCTGCCCAGAGAAGTGCAAGCGCCCGGTGGCAAAGGCCCTGTCCTGGTTCATCATGTCGGACACCTGGGCGGGGAGGTAGTTGGAAGCGGCCATGAACATCTTTCCCATGTAACCAGTCCAGGTGGAGGGCTCCTCGGGTCGGCTGCGGGGACAAGGCACAGGAGGAGGGAGGTGGGCACCGGGCCAACGCTCGGCACAGCCCTGTGCTGTGAGCGGCGCTCACCGCAGCGGGAAGGAACTGTGCCCTTAGCATAATGTTCTGCCCACCTGGAATGGCTCGGGACATGCTATTCTGGCAATTCTGAAAGGGCATCGAGTACTCGTTTGTCCTTCGGAAGGACCACTGCGAAGCTGTTAAGAGCTTCCCCGTGCGACCGCTTCCCTACATTAAAAAGGTTGCAGGTGATGGTTCGTCTGGTCTCCAGACTCCTATAAAGGGGGCCAGGCGAGGGCACGAGATGAGATCGCCGTGTGGACTCGGAAAACTAAGCTCCAGCCTGGCTCGGGCCCACGGAAGGACGCCGCGATCTCAGCGGCAGGGCCTCCCCGGCCAGACTGAGTGGGAAGCAAACCTCCGGGCAGGAGGCCCCGGGCGCTGTGTGATTACAGCCCTGAAGCCACCCTGGTCCCTGGTGAGCCGCGGCGGTAGGGAGAACTCGAGGGGACCCGGTGCACCCCCTGCAGTCCTCCAACGCCATCCCAGCGCGGCCGCCAGACGGAGGGGGCGGGCACCGGTCGCCGGGAGGTGACAACGGGTGGGGGCACACAGCCGCCTCCGTGCTCGGCGCACCGGGCAGCGCCTCAGGGACCGGGCTGGCCGCGTGCTCCTGGGAGCACCTGCCGAGAGGCCCCTTGTCTACGGGCCCGGAGCTTGGTGGGGAGCGCGGGCTGGAGCTCAGAAGCACGGGGGTTTATTTCTCACTCTGTTACCACCCAGCTGGGGACAGTCACAGGCACTGAAAATGGGCGCGATGGCAGTGGTTCGTCTGTTAGTGTTTCGATAGCTGATGCCGAATACTTATTGGTGCCCGTTGTGTGCCAGGCGCTACACCACACGCTTCAGGTCGAGGAACCCGCCGAACGCTCGCAACAAGCCCGAGACGCACCGCTGAGTATTTTGTACGAAAGCACAGAAAGCGGAAATCACCTGCCGGGGTCTCGGAGCGCGTGAAGGGGCAGAGGCGGGGTGTGACCTCGGGAGGGCGGCCCCGGGGTCTGCGCTCCCGTGCGTTCCACTACCGAGGTTCTCCCGGCAGACACTCACCACTCCCGTGAGGACAAGTAAAGCCGAGCGCGTGGCACTCATAAGGAGTCGCTCGTGCGGACAGCGGTGGCACAGGCGAGTCAGGGCCTGGCTCCTCCAGCCTGACGAGTGTTGTGCGTCTGGCAGTTACTCACCTGTTGGTGAGGTGCTCCAGCTTGAAGATGTGCACGGTCTCGGTGTTGCTTGAGGCGCAGAGGAACTGCGAGTCCATACTAAAAACTAGGGAGCTGATTGTCACGTACCTGGGAACACAGCGACGTACAGACAGACTACTGAGCCAGGAGCATGAGGGTGATCGCTTTATAGCTCAAAAACCAGCTTGGTAAGAGAACCGAATGCATCTCGGAGAGTCTGGGTGTTCTAAGGTCTCCTTGACATTGCATCACGCACACTTAGAAATTAGCGTTGGGAGGACTGGTAAAGGGTCCCTGTCTCGGGAAGAAACAAGGCACCGCCCCTTTCTGGCATCTCGTTAGTTTTCGGGCTGTTCGGGCACCAATCGGGCTGCAAACGCTGCAGCCAATAGGATCCCGGCCCATTCACTTTACAAGCTGCTTTTGGATGGTGATTTGCTCGCCCTCTCATTTCTCCTTTGCAAGCTGCCCTCGCACACCTGGGAACAGGGCTCTGACGGCTGAAATCCTGTGTGAAAGCGGCAGCCGAGGGGGCGCCTGGGTGGCTCTGTCGATTAAGCGTCTGACTCTTGATTTCGGCTCAGGTCATGATCTCAGGGATCACAGGGTGGAGCCCTGAGTCGGGCCCTGTGCTGAGAATGTGGAGCCTGCTTGGGATTCTCTCTCTCCCTCTTTCTCTGCCCCTCCCACATCTTAGAATAAACAAGCAAACAAACAAATGAGCAAACCCAGCAGCCATGCTGTCGGGTGCACGAAGCACCCCGCACGGCATCGAAGGCAGTTACCCGAGGAAGTACAGTTATATCTCCTCCGGGGGAGAGGGGGGCACAGAGCCACCCTCCGCACTTGCCCCGGCGGGCCGCCAGCCCTGCGCTGCGGGCGGGACTCCGGTGGGTCCCGTAACACGGGCTTCACGGTGAACACAGACCTTTTCATTCCTCTCCGAAACTCGTAGAGCTTTCGCCCGTCGGGTACAGAGAACACCCGGATGACGGTGCCCTGAGAAAGCAAGCAGGTGGACATTTCGTACCATTGATGGCCTCGGACAGAGACGTCCCTTCAGAGGGGAGCTTGTTTTATTGGTGTGGAACACCTGTCTCTAAGGGGGAGGCACAAAGTGTTGAGCATAGGGGGGTTTTGTTTGTACGTTGCCAGAGAAGCAATTCTTGGCACGTTTGGGTCCCTTTTCCCTCCCCACCCTGCACCCCAAGGCCCTGTGTGTGTTTGCTCGAAATGCTCGGGCTTCCTAGAACATTGCCTGTACCTGTCAAAAACCACTTGTGCTTCGTGGCATTTGAAATTCAACTTGATCACCTTCCCTGACCATTCCAGTCAGAAGAGATCAATTTCTTCTGAACAGCACAACATTTTGTTGACACTGCTTATGAAATGCGGAATCTGTCTGCATCTAGGGAGAACGCGCACACACGTTTCTCAATAAGATCACCAGTTTCTGTGCCACATATCTCGTATCCTGCCTAGCACAGGTCTTTGGTCTGTTGAATTAATAAACGTATCAGTCTACGCAGCGTGCGTGGGTCAGAGACTCCCCTCGGATATGGATTCTGAGTGGGTCCAGAGACCAGTCAGTCCTTGTCCCCAGTCTCCTCTCTTCAGATCTTTGGCCCTGAGGGAGCCATCCAGTGGAGCCCTGACCTGAGAGCCCCCTGAACACGAGGTGCAGGGAGTGAACTCACTTTCTCAGATGCGCTCGCTAGTTTGGAGCCCGAGGCATTGAAGGTGATGGCGGCCAGCGTCCCCTCGTGGGCAGCAATCGTGCAGACCGTTTTCTGTTGGTAACAAGGGAAAATGGATATCGGTGCTGGGGAAGATCCCTCTCCTCTCTCTTTTCTTCCCAAACACCCTCCCTCATTTGCTGGGCGCCCTGTCTCTCCCTTCCCACCGGCCATTTCCAGAGAAGCCGTTCATCCTTTCCGAGTGTATCTAGATTCCGCCTCCAGAGCCCTTCCGTCTCTACCCCTTGTCCCGCCCTCGGGATGACGGACAGCCAGCCGCATGCCCCACGCGGGCGATGCAGCCGTGGCTGTCCTCGCACGCAGCGGTGGGTGACTTCCCGCAGCCATCGCGCCCTGCTCCGTGAAGCCTCGGAGAGCAGGGGACAGGGCATGTGAAACATCTGCACACTGTCACCGGCTGTGACATGGCACAGCGGGACACCTTCAGTCTGACAGTGGGCCGCCAGCTGGCGAGCAGTTTCCGCCACACCGTGGATGTCTCACCGGGCCAGGCGTGCTGCCTCACAGTCACACTGACTGATGGCAGCGAGGGCGATATTACTGCCTTGTCCTCCACACCTCACCTCCGTGGCCAGGACAGACCCCACCCCCCCCCCAAACCCAGGATGGCTTCTCCCTCCACACCTCGCCCCTGCCAGCTCACCAGGGAGTGTCCGTCGTAAAGCACAATCTCGCCTGTGGTCAGGCTTCCAGGATAGGCCACGTAAGAATTGGAATGGTTGATAGAGAGGGCACAGAGACCTGCAAAGAATGAACTGCGGATGAAACCCTGCCTGGAAAGGGCATCTGAAAACCGCGCGACTCCAGTGCCACCTACTGGCGAGGGGAGGAATAGCCTAGGCGATGTTGACTTTTGAGTTGGTTCTTCTAAACCTTCTAATTTACGCCCTTGAAGTTCGCAGGGGAAGACCTCATGACCTCATGACCAGCCGTGTCTTCTCCCCAGAGGAGCAATACGAACTCAGAATACTGAAAATGCTCTTCTTGCCATTTTACTCCCCCGGGCTCTGAAACCACATCCACTTCTCTTGCGTTACCCGCCAAGGCTGTAAGAGAAGTTACTCTTCACGGAAATAAATCTTCCTGCTATGAAAAGGCAGCATGTCGTAGCCTTCCTGCAGGCGATTACCTGCAGCTGGCCAGTCACGTCAAGATGCAGAACAGGAGGCGGAGGGTGGGGGGAAGGACCCATTTAGAAACTGCCCCCTATCTAAGCCAAACGTCCTGCCTTCAGAAGAGAGATGGGGGCCCCCAGAGGTGGAAGCTCATCTGAGGGAGGAGGGCCTTTCTTTTAAATGTTTATTTTGAGAGAAAGAGAGAGAGGGCAAGAGTGCGAGTGGGGGAGGGGCAAAGAGAGAGGGAGAGAGAGAATTCCAAGCAGGCTCGGCCTTGTCCGTGGGGAGCCAAACTTGGGGCTCGACCCCACGAACCACAAGACCATGACCTGAGCTGAAATCAAGAGCCAGACACCCAACCGGCTGACCGAGTCACCCAAGTGCCCTGAAAGCGGACATTTTGGATTGAAGATGCCCTGACAGTATTCTGGAAGGGTAAACAGCCAATGACACCATTGAGCCGACCTAAGTTATTTTTGTTTATAAGGAGACTCAAGGGGGGTTAAATCCGAAAAGCGTTTAAGTAAAGGATTTTCACAACAATGGTCTGGATTAATAGTAGAAGTGTATGTTGACAGAAGTGAATTCAAAGAATTGTTAGAACCAAAAGCATTAGCAGCATAAGCTCTTCACGATTAGGCAAGAGAGACATCTTTTTAAATACAAACTGCAACATCTTTGTGACAAGTCGGCATATTAAATGGGTTAATTACATAATAAAAACTTTAGGCTAAAATGTACCCAACCTAATCTGCTGGGGGGAAAAGCAGAGGAAAAAAAAAATCCATCGTTGAGAAGCGAAACCCAGGTCCTCCCTCCTGCTCTCTGGCTTTGTTGAGGACATAGCCAGGGCTGTGCCCTTAGCCCTCGACATACAGAACCGTGGGAGGAAAGTGACGGGGCCCAGAGCCCTTACCTGTGTGCCCCGGCACCCTGCAACCCCTGCCTGTACACGATCACTCTCAGCCCCACCCTTAGGAAGGGACTCTCATGTCTCCCCAGTTCTGCCCGGGCGACAATGCCCCATCTCCTCCGGGCTCTTTGCCACGCAAGTGCAACTCCGAGAGCAGCTGGCAGGCAGAAGGCACTGTGATCTTGTGAAACTCGTGAAAAGGGAGGGAAGCGCATTGGGAGGTTGGGGCGGCCTGCGCGGTGGGTTCCCACAGGGCTGCTCAGCAGAAGAGATGGTTGAGAGACTGGATGTGGCAACAGGGGAAGGGCTTGAGGACCCCACCAAAGAGTTAAGATCTTACAAATGTGGTGGGTACGCGCTGGACGTTTCTGAGCACAATATTTAAAAAAAAA